ACAAATTAACTGGGACCACCACTGTAAGCTGCTCTGTGGGGCATTTATTCTGATGTGCAGCTCCACTGGAGATGAGTGGACAGTTTGTGGACGTGTGAGAAAGAAACTTACAGGTTTCATGGAGAGATATTCACTTGAAATTAAATTTCTATAAATGCTGATAAAATGCTTTTCATCGTGTTCAGTATTAGTTGCGGAAGTGTTTGCAGGTTGTAGGAGAGAAAGGAAGAGTTGAACCTTTTTTTGCACGGAGATGACCAGTCTCCTATCTGGATGCTGAGCTCCTCATAAAAACAAACAAAGGGAACCGAGCTCAGTTCAAAGATAACAAAATACCTCTCAGCCTGGATAATCAACAAGTTATGTGACCAAGCTAAATGTTAGTTTGTTTAGTGCAAACAAAAAGAAAAAGAAATAGACAAGCTGTGATTTTACGAGTGGTTATAAGAATAATCTTTGCCTGCTGCCATGTAATCATCCTCTCAAGGTCGTCTCGGAACATGAAGCTGAAGTTATAAAGCATCAGACACTTGAAAAAATATATGCACTGTTTTAGCGTCCATGTGTTTTTCTTCTTCAAAGCACAGTAGGAACAGCAACTTTACAACCTGGGACATTAAGGAAAGGTAGCTGTGTTTTTTACCAAGTGCTGGTTTCTAGTTTGCAGTATTAATACTCATCTGTGTAATATATGTATGAGTGTGATCTGCAATCAACTGTAAAACTTTATATAAGTTGATTTACCATCTTGGCATTCAAGTGTGTTTCTGTTTGGGAGGAGCCGGTCACATGAGCGGCAGCAGGTAGAATCACTGGTCAACCTTGCCCTGACACATGGCCAAGCCCCTCCCCGCTTGCCATAGTGCTGCACCACACTCCTCCTCCTCCTCCTCCTCCTCCTTATGCACTCTCTGGATGGCTGGACATGGTGTGGGACTGTCCCCTCCTCTCATGTCCACCTCCTCCTCTCCTCTCCCTCTGTCTCTGCTCCTGCTGGACATCTGCAGCACCCATGAGGTTTGTCAGCTTGCACTTGTTGATC